AGATCAGGCCTCGGGGCTCGGCCATGGGGCTGCTGAGCCGGCTGCAGTGCCGCTGGCGGGGTGATAAGAGGGAGAAGGCTCTTATCTGCGGTGCTGTGGCTGCGGGTATGGTAAAACCCCAGGGACAGGGCTCTGAGCCGCCTTGCCATGTGGTGTGCAAGGGGTTTCAAAGGGAATAATGAAGGCAATGGGGTAATATTGGGAGTGATGATCTTAAAGGTCTTTTCCAACCTGTAGCCGATTCTGTGGATGAGGTAGGAGCTCGCTGCCTTCGCCCTCAGCATGACAAATGGAGCCACCCACCCTGCTGACTTCACCCATCAGACTCTTCCTCCCAGTCCTCCCAGTTCAACCAGCAGCCCTTTCAGGTACATGAATACGTATCCGTCCCTAGAAGCCTTTGCCATGGGGGGGAATCTGCCCTGCACAGCTCCTTGCAGCCGTGCCAAAGCAGCCTCCGCTCCAGCCATGGATGGAGGAGGCCAGACTCTGCCTGTTCGCTGCCTGATTTCACCCTCTGCCTCGCTGGTGGGCTGTGAGGTGAGTGTCCATGCACGGGCAAAGTCCTTGTGTCCTCATCATGGTGGTGATGGAGGGATCACTGCAGACCCCAGCCCATGGACGGAACCCTGAGGGCTTTGTGCTTTGTCAGGGCAGCTCAGGGATGGTATTCCTGGGAAAAGCCCCTCTGGGCTGCCCTCTCTGAGCATCTCCTTCCTCCCTCTCTGCCAGTCAATCCCTGTCTCCATCCCCTCTAAGGTCTCAGTCCCAGCCCTGGCTGCTCTGCTCCATTGCAGACAGGACACAGGTCCTGTCGATCCCAACCCCTGTAGGAGACAACATCAGAGCTCTGTATAACCAACAGGAGAATGGGCTGGGGAGGTGAAACCCCTTTGCAATCCTTTGCTATGGGTGAGAGGAGCTGAGCATCCTCCTCATCCTCCTCCTCGGGAGGATGCCTCCCTCCATGCACCGTGCCTTTTGACACAGAGCAGGTCACAGGAGGACCAAGCTGGTGCCACGGCAGGGCACGGCCATCCGGAGAGCTGGGGATGGAGCAGGGACAGCATAGGAAGTGCTACATGGGAAAGCCCTGTGTGAGAGCCCAGGAGCCCCTGCCTTCCCACAGCAGACTTATCAAGGCCCCAGTTCAGAGTGGTGCTTTCCACGGGCCAAAAGGGAAGTGCAGACACACCAGACTCCTCGGGGTCAAGGATGCTGGGCAAGCAGCGAGGCTGCAGGGGGCAAGGGAGGGAACCGGGGCGTGGGGAGGGAGACACAAATAGCAAAATGAATGGCTTCGACTTCCTATGTTTTATGGAGGAGAATAAAAGGAGACAGAGAGGGGGAGAGAAAGGAGCCCTGAGCGCTCACACACGCTCTCACGCACACTGGGACCAGCCCCAGAGAGCGCTGGTGGCCGGTGTGGCACGGCAGCATGGACCCACTTGGTTGGCACGGTTCTTCTGGTCCATCATCCCCCTGAGAGCATCTCACAACGTGTGACGGGCTCAGCGCTCGTTCCTGCCCCTGTCATTATTAGTTTGAACAGCAGCCAGGTTTAGAGAACATCCAAAGGGCCTCTTGAAGGGCATCTGCAAAGCTGGAGGTCCCAAACTCCACCCTGGCACTCACAGTGAACAGAGCCCAGAGGAACAGACATCTCCACATCCTCCCTTCCATGCTCCCTGCTTCACATGGGCTCCCATGCAGGGTGGTCCAGGCCACGTTCCCCTTCATCCCTCCATGGCTGCAGCCCTTCCTGGTGCAGGATTTGTCTCAGGAGGACCAGATGGCAGCGTCCCCAGGCACCAGCAGCTCCAGGACAGATGCAGTGGGAGGTTGTGGGGCTCCTCGGAGGAGAAGACAGGACAGGCTGCAAGACAGAAATGCCAAGTCACCATTAGCACTAAATTCTCTGGGTTTCTTATGGGGTTGGATGGAGGATTTTGGCCTCCAGGGTCAACTGTCCCTGGTGCCAGGGCTGGGAGACAGAGGATATGACACAATTGCAGCAAGGATGGGGACAAAAGGCACATCCCTGGTTCTATTCTGTGGTTGGCACGAGCTCATGTCTAGGGGATTGTTCCCCTGGATTTCTCCTCCTCCTCCCACAAATCTGAGCTGGGAAGAAGAGCAGGATCAGCATCTCCAGCATGGCCAGTGCTAGGAATGGTTTGACCATCAGAATAACCATCCCCAGCATGGTCGGGAATTGCTTGGCCATCGGTGCTATGGGCACACTCACCAGTGATGCACAGAGGTCCTGCTGTGGTGGCTGCGGTGCCAATGGAGACAGCCACAAGCCCAAAGCAAAGCACCCAGCAGAGCCAACAAGGCAGGTTCATGGTGAAAAGGAGGGGAGATGCACCAAAACCCCTCCTCAAAATCAGTGTTGGCAAAGCCTGTGGCGGCTGCTCCCATCTCCTGCCTGGTGTTCATGGCATTGGATGCAGGCTCAGGGTATTCCAGATGCTTGCTTGTTGATGCTCCCTGGATGGGGTGTCTCTACCAGCTCAGAACCCAGTGTGTCTATGAGGGACAACCAACATGAGCTATGATCCCAAGGTCTCTATGAGCTATGATCCCAAGGCTGAGATCCTGGAGACCCTGCTCTCGGGATAGGTGTGTGGGCAAGGCTGGGTCCAGGAGGGCTTCTCCTCTCTGCCTTCTCCAAGAGTGGACCACATTGAGCCTCTGGTGGTTAGGAGCAAGACAAAGAGTGCAGTTTGGTGGCCCGTCTCCAAATGAATAACGGTGACTTGAATCTGCTGGGGATGCTGGAAGCAAGGAAAGCTCATTTGACCTCATCCAGGCTGTCAAACGGGTTCAAATCGGCTGAGAATCACTTGGGAAACACAGGAGCCGGGAGGGGGGAAACCAGGTGAGCTTTTGTGGGGCTTGATTTAGCAGCAAGCTCTGCCTCTTTAACGGTGCCTCTTGGTGCGCAGGGTCAGCTAAAGCCCCTTCCCCGTCTCTCCCCCCCCCCCCCAAGCCCAGCTCCCCTGCTCTGGTTTCAGCCCGTTCAAGGAGCTGCTCTCACAAAGAGGTAACGGAGAGTTCACGGCCCCGCTGCCAGAGCGGGAATTTCTCTGGGAATTCCTGCCATAGCAGGTCTGCTCCCGCGGAGGTGGAGTTTCCTCCGCATCCACCTCCACCCAGGCTCCGGGAGCGCTCCGGCCACCGGCTCCGCGTTCGAGGGGCCGGGCTGAGCGACGCCGCGGCTGCATCCCAGCCAAGGTCAGGCAGGAGCCCTCCCTGCTCCGCTCTCTTTAACCCTTTGGCAGGAGCAGGGGGATGCTGCTGGCTGCCCGCAGGGGGGACGGGCACGCTTCCCATCCCAGCAGGCAGCAATGGGGTTGTGCATAAGGATTCCATACCGTGGCGTTCCTCAGGGATACGCTGCCCATCGTGGGCCCTGGGTGAGGCTGGTGTTTGTTAGTGGGGTGATGGGTTTCTCACTCGGAGGCAGGGAGCAATGGGGTGATGGCGCTCAGCATCGGTGACTGGAAGCTCTGGAATCTGAGGCACGTCCCCGGCCATAGTTGTGGTCAGGAACCATCCTGGCGTTGCAGAGGCACGAACCGCAGCCCCAGTGGCAGCAGGGCCGCTCGAGTGTGCCTCTGACGCCAAGGACCGGCGTGACCCGACCCCACACCGTGGGTCTCGCTTCCAAGGAGCTCCATAGGTGCCCTTGTTGGGACTTGTTCCCTCCTGCCCTCACAGAGGTGGGCCCTGCCCCTGCAAAATGGCATCCCCTCGCTTCCCAGCCAGCCCCTGCCAAGGGATGGAGGCTTTCCAGATGCTGCAGAGGCTCCAGACGCCGGGTTGGAGGGAATTGCGTTTGCAAACATGGGGCCAAGCCAAGAAGTTTCAAGGTAGCTCCAAGCGCCATGGCAAGGAGAGGGTCTGGAGCTCAGGTTTGGTCTGGGGCCACCTCTGCTGGTTTGGGGATGAACTGAAACACGTCTCGCACATCTGGGGGAGCAGGTCTCGCTCAAGGGGTATGTCCACCTCTATGTGAGCTGCTGCAAAGGTGCTGAACGGGTGGGTTTGGGGGACAACCACAGTAGAGGTTTAGCAACGCTCCCCACCTTTGTGTGCTGGATAAGCTTAAACTCTGCCCTCAGTGACTCAGTCACCGCATGGATGGAGCTGAGCACAGGCAACCCTGGCGGTGCAGCCTGAAGGCCACACAGCAGCGCATCCTCTGCCTCCCCCTGCGCTGCAGCCGCGCCGGGGCAGGATGCGGCCGCTCTTTACCAGCGCAGGCAGGGCCGGGAGGAGGCCATGGAAGTTCTCCCGCTGCCAGGAACCAGCTGGAGGGAACAACAATATCCAGAGTCCCACCGCAGGTCCCCGGAGGACGCGGGGCGCTCGCACAGCGTACGAGTGCCACCTACAGGGGGGCTCCGCGCCTGGGCACCCCTAAAGCATCCAGCCCCGCTCCATCCCATCCTTCTCTCAGATACCCCCAAGTCCACACTGGACCTATTGCAATCACCGCGTCTTAGTGTAGTGGGGATAACCACAGCGCTTAAGGGTCACCCGATGCAGGGCTGCAACCACGGGTGATGCCCTTGCGGTGCTCAAGGATGGAAAATCGACTCCAACGCTGATCAAACACCCAATTCCAGCTGCCTTTGAGGCAGTGCTCTGGGCTCCATAGGGACCCGCTCACCTGCGGCTGCTGCAGGCGGCCAAATGGGGCTCAGCTGTGGCAGGGGCTGGGCAGTTTATAAAGGGCTGGGCTCTAGGGGCCAGTGCTGCAGTGCTCAGCATCCCTCTTGGAGCCCTGCGGGGTGATGGAGCCCTGCGGGGTGATGGAGCCCTGCGGGGTGATGGAGCCCTGCGGGGTGATGGAGCCCTGCGGGGTGATGGAGCCCTGCGGGATGGGGCAGCTCGGCCTGGCTGAAGAAGGGGACGGCCCGGGCTGCCCCACAGCCGGTGTGTCCCTACGGCTTCGGGGGGGAGCCATGGGGACCGCGCTCCGCTGCAGCCGGGGGTTGTGGTGGGCACCGGGCAGGCACCGACAGCTCCCCCCAGTCCCGGCCGGGACCGGCGGCCGCGGGCAGCGGCGCCATGGGCGGGGAGGAGGAGATCGTTCGCATCGCCCGGCGGCTGGACAAGATGGTGGCCAAGAAGAGCGCGGTGAGTGGCGGCGGCCGGGCCCCCGCCGCACGCCTCGGGTGGGCGGCCTCCCCTTCACCCGGGGCTGGCGGCTGCAGCATACATCTCCGCGGGGCCCCCGTCCTCGCTGCGGGCCCCCTGCTTCTCCGTCCGCGCCCGTTGTGAGGGGGTCTCCTCCTTCCCCAGCCCTCATTTTTGGGGCCTCCTTCTGGGGGCACCCCCCCCCCCCCCCCCACTGTCGCTATCGCGATAGAGCAGAAGCCCCCTCCTCTATCGAGATGCGGTTCCCTCTCCCAAACGGGGCGGCACCGGGGGACAGGCCCCATGTCCGTTCCCCATCCGTTGCGGTGCTGCGGGTTCCACCCACCGGCCGTTATAGGGGGGCGGCTCCATGGTCCCCTGTGGTGCTATGGGAACCCTTCCTCCCCGCATCTCAGCACCCTTGGGGCTCATCCTGCTCCTGCTGGGGTGCTCCCCTCCTTGGAGCATCCTCAGCCTTTGAATTGGGAGCCATTGGGAAGGAGGATTCCTTGCACATCCCTCCCCGCGCTGCCCTTGGAGCCCGCTGTGTGCCCTTAAGGAGAGCCCCCGTGCTTCTGTACTTGCCTCCTGCGTCCCTGTCCCATACAAGCACCACTTCTGCTCACTCCCCTGTGTGTTTGAGCATGGAGGGCTGGCCTCGCTGCTGTCTGCACACCGGGGGTCTCACAGGGGGAGAAACTGGCGGGGGGGGGGGGCATTAGGAAATGTTTCCCTGCCTAATGGGATGTGTCTGATGGTGCTCATACAAGTACCAACAGCATCATGAGCGCTAAGGCAGCGAGCTGGGTGATGAGGGTTTGTGATGGTGGCCTGCTGTACAGCTGGGGCTGGGGCATGGCAGTGGGGAGCAGGAGGGGATGGGGTTAGGGAATGTGGTGTTTGGGGAATGGGATGCTGGCTGCGGTCTTCATGTGAACTTTGGAATGCCAAACCGGCTCTGCCAGCGGTGGATGGGGTGAGCACTGGTGCTTGTGTAGCTCTAACAGCCCAGGAGAGCGTGTTTGGGCTAAACCACAGCCTGCGGTGTCTGTTCCCGGTGATGGTAGGCTTTCAACGCCATTGCTGAAATAGAAAAGGAGCAACTTTTGCTGAATTTGCTTCCAAGCTTCATTGGGAAAGAGGCAGCTTCTTCAGAGCAGTCTGCAGTGCTTCCTCTGGGCTGGCACTGGTGTGGTACTGAGCCGTAGCGTGTGTGTGTTGTACCTCAGCTAATTTGCTAACTCTTCCTGCAGGATGGTTGCCTGGAGTACCTCTTTGTTGCTCTAGTTTTTGCATGGATCCCCATTTGCTGCCAGTGTGCCAAGTGACTCCCTTTCTGATAACGGAGACAGGAACCACCGGGTCATTTTGTATGTTAAGGGCTGGATTTAATGGAGTCCTTGTGGCTGCAGGAGGAACGGGAAGGTGTGAAGCTGCCCGAGTGGGAAGCTGCTCGTTCTGGGTATGGTAACGTGTGGTTTATGCTGGTGTGTGTTGCTTTTGTGCACGCTGACAGCTTTGACTCTGCTTTGGCTTTCTCAGCATCTGTTCTGTAGGGTGGCACTTGGCAGCTGGATCGCTTCCTGCAATGAATGGGGAAGGCAGGGAGGATGGGATCCCAGGACAGGGGCCGTGCAGGCTGCTTCTCTTCTCCACAAGGTTGGGCTCTGTAGGCCTTGTGCTGCCAATGGGCTTGGAGTGGTTGGTGTTTTAAATGAGCTCTTAAATAGGAACACTAGAAGGCCTTGTTTGATAGAAGGGAATGGGAGGAAAGAGCCAGCTGAATAGACAGGCAGACTGCAGGCTGTGATGCCTGCCATTTCTGAGTGGCTATCAATTTTAGGTACCTACATATTGCCTAGCCAGCTTTTTTTTTCCTAGATCCAGGTTCTGGAATGCAGAACTGATGCAAGGAAACCTCATATAATGAGTCCAAGTGACCTGCTCTTCAGCATCACTGCTTGATGGCTTTGCTCCTGGTATCAGCAATAGTCCTGAGCAGAGTGGGGTATTAATATGAAAACTAGGAAACAGCTACACTAAGATTCATGTTCCAAGAGGATACTTTGAGCTCTGGACAGTGATTCTGGGCTGTAGGTGGGTGACTGAAGCTCTTGCAACTATGCCAGGATGTTCTTGTGAGCCAGTACTTGCCAGGTAAGGACAATAAGCTAATGCTGCAGTTGTTCCATACACCAGCAAAGACCTGTAGAGATCCAGTGCTCTCCTGTTTTGCCTATTCCAATATCTCAGGTGCCTTCAAATTGTAGGATCTCCTGTCTGTCCAGAACAGCAACCCCCACAGAGTGCTGGTGGTTTTCCCTTCAGATTCAGCTTTCTGAATTTATTCCCATTATCTCTTTACTAACAGCTGAGGCACTCACTGAGTTTCTCTTTTCCTCTCCAGGATGGTGCAATGGATTTACTGAAAGAACTGAAAAGTATGCCTATGACTTTGGACTTGCTGCAGGTGAGTTGCACAGGGTCAAAAGCTGATGTCTGCATCTGGATGAGCTCAAAGTGTCTTAATAAATGTAACAGATTTATTCTTGCTTCTTGCCTCACTGAAAGCATCAAAGTAAATGTTAAATACAGAAAATAGTACTGAACCTGGGGTTCAGAGTGGCAGCTACATAGCTCTGTGCCACAGTGTGTAGCTAATGAGGCAGGTGTGGGCAACTGCTCCTGTCTTAGGCTTCCAGAAGAGGAAAGACCGGATTGAAGTAGCAACCACAGAGGGCAATCATGGGAGAAGTTCTTTAAGTCTTTGTGATGGTAATATTTAGGACAATGGGGAGGGTGAGCACAATTACAGTACAGAGGTTAAGATATGCATCCTGAGTCTTTTTACTCAAGGTTGAATGTCACTTCCAGACCTGTAGAGAAGGTGTTTGTGGGTGAGTGTATGTCTGCTTTTGGATAGTTTGAGCTGGAGTGTCATCTCTAACAAGAAGAGATAATCATTCTGCAGGTCCTTGGATACTTCATATCTTGGTCATTGCTTTGACTTCCTCGTGCTTGTTTCTGGTTTGGGTTAGTAACAAATAACAAATCTGGCTTGGAGTGATTCATTTGAATGTTCACTTGCAGTCCACCCGCATTGGGATGTCGGTGAATGCACTGAGGAAGCAGAGCACAGATGAAGAAGTGATCTCTCTTGCCAAATCCCTCATCAAATCTTGGAAGAAACTCCTAGGTAAGGAAATCAGCATGTTCCTGTCATATTTGACTTGGGAAGGAGCTGCCTTCAGCTGCAGGCTGGGTTTCTGGGATCCATTCATCTCTGGATCTGAAAAGAATATTCTGGCAAACCAGCCTTTACAATTGCACCCTCTGGCTTTCAGATCTACCATGGATTCTTCTAGTAGCTCCTGTTGAGCTAGCTCATCCTTGAAAAAGCATTGAAAGCTTCAGGGCTGCATGTACTTACCCATATAATAAGTAGTAGCATTATTTATCTGTGTTCTGAACCCTCTGCCCCAGCTTCTGTGCTGCGTGTCGTTAATACAGGGTGTGCTGTCTGCCTTGTGCAACAGCCTGGAAAGAAATGCTGGAATGCATTTGGGTGATGAGTTGTAGAAGGACTTTAGTTTAACACCTTGTGGAGAAGTTCACATGGACTGCTGCCTGCTGGGGAGGCTTTCATGGTGATGGATGCCATGAGCAGGAGCTTGCAGTTCTGTCTCAGGGATCTTCAAGCTGATACAGCACAGACTAATGTCAGCATCACAGAGGGAGGGATTGCAAATATGGGTTTAGTGGTTTCCTTTGTGGTAGAAGAATGAGACATCTGCAGTGCTGAGGTTAGAGGGGCAGGTCTACCTGTGTCCTGCTCTACCCTGTGTCTCCCAGTCTGTATTGGTGGCAGAGTGCCTCAATGTGAGATTAAAATGCTCCTATTTGAACAGATCTTTTGGGGCAGCTCTATGTGGAAAGAGCAAGAACAATGTAGTGTTTGAGGCAAAATGAACTGTGCTTGACTCTACCCTGCACCCCAGGGCTCCTCCTTTGAGAGGCTAAATGCATGTTAGAAGCACTTTTCCTGCCCTGGCTGGGACTGTCACTTCCACATGATGGGTGTTGGCCAGGCTGAGGCACTTCACCTCTGGGTCAGGCTTGTTCTACAGCCTAATGAAAGCCCTCTCCAGGGTTGTGCTATTGGCTTTCAGCAGCACTTGGGAAACAGCAGAAGCTGTATTCCCAGAAGGACCAGCCCATGCTGGCCCATCAGGTGGTGTTGGCTGGAAATGCTGCTTGCTTTAGAGAACTTGATGTAATCAGTGCTCTGCAGCCAGGGTGTCTCTGAGGCTTTTGTGCTGAGGCTTGTCTTGTGAGGAGCCTGTGTCTGAGGCAGGGAAGGTGACTGCTCTTCAGTTTAGTGAGGAAAGCTTTGGTTTCAATCAGTTTCTATTTGGAGACAAGCAAAAGCTCTATTGGAAAGCACTGAAGACTGTAAAGGTGTTCTTTCCCCTGATTCTTTTTGGAGAGTGATAACTTGCTTTAGGCCAATGCTGTGTAGGGTTAAGACATTGATTAGTGGGTGCAGGGTTGTAGCATATAAAGGCCAATACTGAACCCTTCAGCATCCATTTCTCTTCTGAATCCAGATGCTTCTGAGGACAAAAGTGAGGAGAAAAAGAAGGGCCTGTCCTTGCCAACATCCTCCTCGAAGGAGACTGGTAACTCAAGAGACCAAAGGTAATGCTTCCCTGTAACCAGAGAGGGTTTGGTTAGAGAATGTGAGCTTGCTTAAGGTATCTTGCATTGATTTTTTGCTCTTAGGTATGTGAGTTGTGAATTTTGTGTCATCAAATTCCTGGTCAGAAACACCACAAGTGAAGACTTGCTCAGAGATGATGTGTGGTGTCTTTAATAGTGTAATGCAGAAATATACATCTACAAAATAGGGTGGCTTTAGTGAGTGCTGTGATTTTACTCACTTCTTGTTCTGTATTTTTCTGCTGTTATGTGTGGATCTTGTAGTAAATTCCTCTGTTCTTTCTTTTGCATTTTCATCTATTTTTGCTTATTTCTAACTTTGACCTCCTTAGAATGAAGATGATTTTTGGGCTTTGCAATTTCAAGTGATGGATGGGATTAATACATCACTATAGTGAGCCATTCCTTTGTCCTTGACACATCCCAGCTTACTGGTAAAGGAGGCAGATTTCCCTCCAGGATAAGGGCAGAAGCCTGTTTGGAATTCCTGTTGGCTGTTGCTGATGGGGAAAGGAGAAGGCAAGAACTTGGCTGGTACTGCTCAAGCCAGGAATGAGGTCAAAGAAACAGGGAAGCTTCTGTTTCAACCTTTGGAAACTTGACCTTGTGGAATGCAGACCCTGAGGGGAAGGAAGTGTGAGACATTCCCTGGGCACGCTGCAGTAGACATTTGATGAGCAAAACAAGCTGGGCCTGTTAGGACATCTGGTTTGAAGGCTGAGACTCATCATTTCACTTGGAATAGCATCCTGGCTGCAGGTAGAGGCAAACCCCTGCTGTGGCTCCTTGCTTTGTCAGTTACTATGGGGTATGTGGAGCTTTGTGGCTTGTCATTAATGCTCCCCTGTGCCTTGATGTGCTGCAGATACTGCAGGGTTTTTTCTCCTTGATGCTTTCCATACATATTCAGCCTCCATCTTCTGAGTGGCAAAGTGTGCCCTTGGCTGGGAAGGATAAACAGAAGCAAATGGATTAGTGTAGCATAGACCAACAGAAGTGGCCAGCTCCTGAGGTCAGCTTGAGCCAGGCTCTCTTTAGAGACTGGAATGCTCCAGGGCTGCAAAATAAACTACTAATCTGCCTTGACAAAAAGAGGATTTATTAGCAGTGAAAAGTCTTTGTTCTTGGAAGCACAGGCTGTGATGAAGAGAGGCTGACTAGCTGCTCGGTGCGCGATAAGCTGGTTCAGATGAGGCTGCTCTCGAGACACCAAAGAGATCAGCTTGTAGTCAGTATTTCAGCCACTTAGTCTGATGGATTTTGGCTGGGCCTTCCTCTTCTCTTCTGTCGGAGAAACTTGAACAGCCCTTGGCCTGAAGCTTGCCTTGCTTTCTGGAGCACAGATGTAGAAAATCCCTCTGTAGTGACTAGAGAGCTTCAAGACCTGAGGGTTTGGAGCCAGCCAGCATGGAGCTGGCACCTGGGAACTCGCATTGCTGCATTACTGTAATCCAAAGCATATTCTGCTGTGCTGTAGTATCTTAGCCCATTAGTGTAGTACACTTTAATGGGCTGTGTCTAATATTGCTGTGTCTCTGGCAGCATGAGCTTTTCCTCTTCCAGGGTTCTCTAAACTGCTTTTATGAGGAGGTCTTGGATCTGTGGCCTGAATTCAGCTCTTCTGTGGGACTTCCTTCCAGTGCAGTCCCTGGCTGTTGCTTTGCCACCATTTGTTCCAGCATGGTCTTTTTTATGTATGAGCTTTTGTTGCCTGGATGGATTTACAAGCTCTTTCTCCTGTTTAACAGCAGCAGTGTGAACCACAAGGAACATACGAGTCTTTTAGGTGTGTTTGAGCTCTTTCACAACTCTTCTAATTACAAACTAACTTTAAAAGCTCAACAGACTTTCTGTGCAGTCTTTGGAATGGCTGAAAGTCTGTTGTCATCTCAGGGCACATAGACTGTGTATATGGGTGAATGTCTTTACTTTTCAGCTAACAGCAGTGGGATAACCATGCATCCTTAGCTTTTTTCCCCACCTCTAGAGAGTGGAAATCTCCATCCCAAGTTTTCCAGTATTTCAGGACTTCCCTGCTGTAAAGCACTTCAGTTCCTTCAGCCTTTCCCTTTATTGTAGGTATGGTTTTGAGGCTTTTTGCCTTTTTCCTTTGGGAAGTCTTATTTTTCCAGGCTGTTTTATGCAACATGATCAGCTGTGATTTTAAGCAGAGCTATTTGAGTCGTGGATGCTTTGCTATGTACGCCCCATGTGTACTGCCTGTGATCTGTACACAGCAGCTCCCTAGGTACAAAAGTGCCTGGTGGTGCTTTGCACATCCCAGATGGGAGAACCTCATGGTCTAATTTACTTGCAAGCTAAGATACTTGTCTTTAACATGTGCAGTGTAAATCCTATTGAGTGTTTTGAGCTGTTTGGCCACAAATGTGTTCCTTAATAGCATCCTGTAGTGCTGACCAGTAAAACAAGCTGGTAAAAAGGATTTTATTCAGCTGCTGGTCAAAGATCCACACTAAGCTTGCAATGTAATCCCTCTCAGAGTGTATCTGTTTCATCTGAGCAAGAAATGACTCTGCTCTGGCTTGACATGGACAGCTTGCTGGAGGTGCACTAGTGGATGCTGCTTAAAAGGGCCTGGCGAGGTTTTGAACTGTGGAAATCCAGTAGCTCTAATAATGATCTACAGGCTTTAAGGCACTGCAGAGCCAAACTGGATCTGAACTCAGCAACAGGGTGTCCCAGGATAAATCCCTGGACTTGTCTGGCTCAGTCTGTGCAGCCGCAGATTCGGAAGGTTTCCAGCTTAGCACAGTTTTATTGGGGGCCTGCCTAATCCCTTCCAGGACAGTGAAGTGGAAGTGCCTGGTCATAACACTTCTTTTTGCTGGCAGAGAGCTGATGGTAATGACCCAGCTGAAGAGCAACTGTCAAACCACTTGGATCTTCAAGGGTGTGTTGCCAGAATGGCAAGGGTGAAATACCAGGGTTTCTCTTTCTTTTACTGCATTAATGCTACCAGGCATTGGCCATAAATACACTGCATTTTATGACCCAAACACCAAAGCTGGAGCAATGTCTGCTGAAAAAATTGCTGTTTTGCTGATTTAAGGTGGAGGGGAAGAGCTCTACAAAATCATCTGGGAATCATAATAGCCCACATCAGTGTTTGCAGGGCTAACTAACTCTCCTTGCAGATGTTAGGCTTTATGGGCAAAGATGCTCAACACTGTGGGTGTAGCATCAGCTGAACAGCTCAGTGAAGCTCCTCTCCAGCACGCACAGTGCGTGCAAGCCCAGCCTGTGCAGTGATTTGTCACCCTGTGATGGTGCAGGCAGCAGGTCTGGGTGCTCATTCTGTGCCTCCAGTCTCCCCTGGCAGATGACCTGAGTCAGCCACAGCAGGCAAGTGTTTGCATTCCCTTGTCTGTGCCTGTGATTGCTTGCAAGTGGAAATGAAGCTACCTTTATGAGGGAACCAGTATTTCAGTCTTGTGCAAGCTCTGTGTGGCTTGCAGAGGTGCTCTTCTGAGGTGAGTAATCGGAGTCTTGTCCAGGTTACAGGAAAAAGATCCTCTTATGGATTATGATTTAATATTGGAGCTGAAGGTGCCTTTTTCTTTCTCTTCCTTGGCATTGCAGCTCCTTCTTTAGGCTTCTCTGCTTTCTGCTTCAGAAGGCAGCATCCTGCACCCCTTGTCGGCGACAGAGGGCTGGAGCACTGATGTGTTGAGCTCTTTCTTCTTGCTGACATCTTGGCAGCAAAAGATGCGAGATGTGGAACCACTTGAGATTCACTTTATTGGTGGCTTCTGCTCCCTTTCTGCTGAGAGCAGTTATGGACTCGGTGTCCTGTGAAATAAGAGGATTAATGTGCCATGACTCTGCACTGCGCTACCAGACCGAGATGGTCACAGCAAGTCCTGAGTGCATTTGAATTACTGATGGTGTCCAATGGCTTTGTAGCATTTTCACTTCATGCGCAGTGGTGCAGTTGTGTGGGTGAATGGCAAGTTGGTTGGCATGGATTAAACCCTCCCTTTGCAGCCAGCAGAGTCACAGGAGAGCTCGTGGCTGGGTCGATGGCGTTGGTTGCTGTATTGTGCTGATTCGGGTGCGTGTCTGCACTGCTTTCCTCTGACTGGTTTTGTGTTGTGATTAACAGGATGCTTGGCCACAGCCCTGCTGATCCCTCCTCTGCTCTCAGTGCCCTGAACTGAGCCATTCTGACAGGTGACGTTTCTCTTTTAGCTCCAACAAAAGGCAGGAGCCTCCGAAGACTCCGACCACCCCCAAAATCACCACCTTCCCCCCGGCGCCCGTCACCTGCGATGCTGTCCGCAACAAGTGCAGGGAGATGCTGACAGCAGCTCTGCAGGCTGATGGTAAGTGCTGGGGAGGCAATTCCTGCATTGCTTGAAGTGCTTCACAACTCCTGGTGCATTCTGTGTGTAGGTCAGTACCTATAGATATGCTCTTGTCAAGGGGTTACTGCCAGCAGCTCCACTGGTCACCCCTTTTCCACACATCCCTTAGACACTTCTACAGGGACTTGGTTTGAGCCAGAGACTCAGCACTGTGTCAGGTAATGGATGGTAAGAGCATGGGGTTATGCTCTGCAGCCTGGGGTGGTCTGGCCAGTTTAATCTTCAGGCGTGCAGGTATTTGCTTCCCTTTCTAGCTCTCTGTCTTGTCTGTAAAGCAAAGCTGTCATCTCTGCTTACCCTTGGGCACAAAGTGGAGCTATAACTCAGTAGATGGAAACTGTTGGTAACAGTGCTTACCCCAGTCACTGTCTGCTCTCACTCCCTCCCTTTACACACTGGAGCCTCTTAAATGCTCTGGTCCTCTGTGGATCTGGGGTGGAACAGGTCTCTCTTGCACTCAGTCTGTGACCTCTAAAATGAAAGGCAACTGTAGGTGCTCAGCATCTCTGACAGGCAGATTTGAAACACCTCAAGCTGAACACATGCTTGTCTCCACATTGCAGATCCCTTTGGAAAACTGGGGTCTAAGCCCTGTAGAGTTTTATTCATTTGGAGCCAAGGAATGTAGACAGCAGATGGAGAAGTTCAAGTCTTTACTTCCAGCCTTCCTGTGCATGTGTTTATGCTGCATTAAATACTTCGTATACCTCTTAGAAAAACCCTTTTCCATATGGAGTCTGGAAATGAGTCCACTTGAGTCTTTCACTAAGCTCAGTTCTGTTCTGCTTATGGTCCTTACTTTATGGCACTGATTGCTACACTCTGTGATGCTGTTTAGTTGGTGGGTGAAAGAAGAGGGAGGGCAGAGTCCTGAAGTGAGAAGAGAGTGAAGGCTTGATTCCAATGCTGCATGCTTTTGTTCCCTGGCAGATTATTGGTCTGAGTAGAGCAACTTCTCATTGACACAAGTATCTGATGAGACTCAATTCCTGCCTGTGTATGTTTGATTTCAACTGCTCCAAGAATATACTGGGAAACTATGTTCTGGGGCCAAGGTTCTTGTTAGGTTTGTCTGGTGCAGTCTATCTAGAGAGGCAGAAGGCACAGACTGGTTGGACTGGTCTATTTTCATCAATTCCCTTTGCAGAAGGGTTGGAGGGTAGGTAGAGCAAAGGCCATTTGATGCAAAGAGCATCTACATCCAAATAGAAAGCTCTCTAGGTTTGTATCTCAGAAATGCTGAGCCTGGGGACCCTTTGCCTTGTTGGAAGGCACTCACCTCATGTTTCTCTTTCTTCCAGATGACTATGTTGCCATTGGTGCTGACTGTGAGCACATAGCAGCCCAGATTGAAGAATATATCCTTACTGCACAGGGCTTCCTCAAGGGCCTGCATGCCTCCAGGCCATGAAATGAATGTGCTTGGAGGAGAAATGGGACAGTTTGTCTCTGCATAAATGTTCTGCTGCAACTCTGCTTGTTGCAGTTCTGATTCTGTCTCTGCTTGGTTGAGTTCTGGCTCACTATGGAGCCATCAGTGTAGTGCTGGGAGCTCAGGGCACACCCCTTCCTTGTGTGATGGATGTGGTTGTTTCCTTCCTGTTCACGCCATAATGATCTGGAATGCCCAGCTTGTCCTTCCCATCAGCAGCCTACTTCCTGCTCACCTCTGCTTTCAAGTACATGCAGCTTCCCTGCGCCTCATGTTGAGGAGAATGTGCTGATAGAGACCAAGCAATGGGAAGGATGGAGCAGTGAGGGTCAGGTTTGTGGTGATTTGAGATAAGTCAGGAGTTTGCTTGGTTTGGGGACCATGGACCCTCTTAGTGGAGGGTTTTGTGGCTATGATACTGAGGAAGAGCAGGTTGAGGAGCCTGAGTGTAACTGAAAACAGATTCCTTCCAGCACAGTGAAAAAGCCAGAATTGAAAGCCCTGAATCTGGGATTGCGTTACCCTGCTCCCAAATCCATCACTAACCTCCCAGAGCAGACACTGCTGTTGGGTGCCAGCACCCTCATCTGTGCTGTGGCAGCAGGTAACACTCCTTTGCCACTCATGAGTGGTGTAGAAGGTGCTTGGAGACCTCTGGGTTGATTGCAGAGTCCTTAACTGCCCTGTACGCATATACCAGGATGTCAAGAACACTGACATGAAGTACAAGAACCGAGTGAGGAGCCGCATCTCCAACCTGAAGGACTCCAAAAACCCTGAGCTGAAGAAGAACGTGCTGTGCGGGGCCATCACCCCTGAGCAGATAGCAGTGATGACCTCGGAGGTGAGGAAGCTTGAGGAGCAGGTTTACTGCTTACAGGGGATGCACTGCTGTTGCCAAGTGCATAGGGAGGGAATAGCACTGCGGTTTGCAATGTGGGGAGCAGTCTGGGCCTTCAGATCATCACAGGGGCCTAGGTATGAACCAAACACCAGGACTGAAAGGCTTTCTGTCAATACCCATCTGTTAGGCCACCCTGTCCTGTTGACTCTTTGCACTGTGGTGGGTGTGAAGGTAAAACTGGACAGATGGTATTAATATTGCTCTTCCATTTCGAAAGGAAATGGCCAGTAATGAGCTGAAAGAGATCAGGAAAGCCATGACCAAAGAAGCGATCCGGGAGCATCAGATGGCCAAGACAGGAGGGACACAGACTGACCTCTTCACCTGTGGCAAGTGCAAGAAGAAGAACTGCACCTACACCCAGGTTGGTCTTCCTGCTCCTGCAGCCTCCACACTGACCCCTGCACAGGATGTGATCCATCACAGTCATGAGCTCTTATTGCTCCATGACAGCACAAACTTTGCTACTGGTGGAGAGAACCCTTTTGTGTGCTTAAAGCTCTCTAAATGTCCTGCTTTTGCACAGTGGTTTCTGCACGTGTTTCCTTGGAGCTTGTGTAGCTTCTTTTGGCTCTCTGTACAAGAGCAGCGCCAAGGAAGCTTTCAGAAGCTGTGCAGCTCCTTGAAAGCAGGTGCTGGGAATGTGTTGATTCGAAGGAGTGGGGAGTGTAGGTGAGAGGCTGCAGAAACCCAGTGTGTTGATGGTGTTAAAAGAGCAAATGAAGGCTGTAGAGAAGGCAAATCCCAACTTAGTTAAAAATCAAACAAGGAGCAACCAAAGCAGTGCTGTGAGCAGGTAAAGGGGATTTTCCTTCTCAATGGGCAGCTGCTGGAGGGCTTATGCATTACCAGTGCTTTCCATTCCCATGTTCTTGCCAGGCATCTGGAGATAAATGTGCCTTTGCCATGAGTCAGTGCATTAGAATGTGCAGAGACCCAAAAATGCACCAGCAACCACACGATCGCTACCGAGTGGGTGTGCACAAACTGTGTGTGCTTGGACCTGATGTGCAAGAGCAGATGAGAGCCAGGCAGCTGACCAGGGATTTCCCTTGGCTCAGGAGTGGTTTTGCATCCGACAGCCTTGCCCTGTATTGAGTAAATCAGTTGGAAGCAGTGCCTGGAATATCTCACCTCAGCAGCACATGGGACTCAGTCTCCTCCTGTATTGGACTGGAGTGCAACTGCCTGGAATTAGGCAGGTGACAGCAGTGCCTTTTAAATAGAAAATTCAGTTTTCTGTATTTCTATTAATAAAATCACTGTCTGGTGACTGAGCTCTAAGTTCCAAGTGGATGAAGTGGTGTTTATGGAAGCACTGGAAGCCAGGCAGGAGCATTGGGTGAGAATTCCAGAGTTCAGCCATCCAGCCTGCTTGCAAAACTTGCTTAATGTGCATCATGCAAATAGTGACTCTTGCAGAGTGGGTAATTACACACATAGCTCATAATTACCCCTCAGCACAGTTCTGCTGCCTGACTTGCACAGGGAGTGCCAGCATTTCCAGTGTGGATCTGCCTTGTGGTATTCAAATGCCCTGAAAATCTCATCTTTAGCAAAGTATGTGTTTCTGGCAAGGGCTGGGCAGAGGCAGCAGCCACATCTGGGTTAAATAGCAGAGTTCCTGCATGGCTCCAATACAAATGAGCCTGGGAATGTCCAGGACCTGGTAACCCAGAGCATGCTCCTGTGAGGCCAGGACACAGGACTGGTCTGTAAGCGGGGAATGGCTCGAGTGCTGCTGTTATGGGTTGCTGCTGAGCATGTGTTTGATGGGCTGAGGGGTTCGTGGTCTCGCTGCCTCCCTTCCCAGGGGCAGCACGGGGAGGGATTTGCAGTGGGTTTGTTCATGCCTAGAGCCACACACAGAGAATGGGCAGCAGAGGGGATGAGCAGGGATATCTGCTGCCCCACAACGCATCCCTCTGGGTAGTGTCAGGCTAGAGAGGGGCCATGAGGTGTGCATAAAGGTGTAAAGCATAACCAGACTCATCTTAAAGGGAGGCTCATTTTGCTGTCCCAAGCCTCAGGGTCTCATTGATCTGACAGTGTGACCCCAATGGGGTGATGGTGATTGCTTGGCTCTCATTTCCTTTGTGCCCCCCACCCAGGTGCAGACCCGCAGCTCGGATGAGCCCATGACCACCTTCGTCGTGTGCAACGAGTGTGGGAATCGCTGGAAGGTATCACACCAAGGCTGTTGCTGGCACTGGGGGTGTTGGGTGGCTGCACCACGATCTGCAGATACTTGGCTGCCCTCAGAGGTATTTGCCAAGCACTGACTGCCTCTAGCAAGTGATCTTTCCTTCCCAGCACAGAGGCTCCTGGGTTCATCCCATCTCCGCAGAGCTGGGTCAAGGCTCACATTCCCTGTCTCCCTCCTCACATCCCTTCTTCCATGAGCAACCTCACAGTGCTTCCCATGCTCCCGTTACCCCTGAGGGATGGTGGTGATGACATTGAGGCTTCAAGTGCCAAAGAGCAATGGCTGGGAGAAGCAGTTTGGTCCCTACTCCAGGGGCTGAGCCCTGCCTCTGCCGAATCCCAGCTTCAGAAACAAGACATCCCCTGCATCCCTGTCTTGTGTGCAGCACACTGCATGCCCCAGAGCTCCCTTTGGCAGTGAGGCTTTCTAATGAAGGTTTAAACTCCCTTCTCTTACAGTTCTGCTGATACGTGCCATGGCTTGAGAGCAGCAGCCTAAAGCAGCTCAGAGCGTGACCTCCATACGCCAGCTCCAGTTGTGTTCTGTGTCCCAAGTGAGTTTGCATTGTCACACACTGAGAGAGCAGCAATGGGGAGGCTTCTTCACATGGGCCTCGGTGGGGAGAGCCACAGCCACAGGCTGATGGGGGGGAGCTCACTGCACACACGTGGTTGTTATTTTCTCATCTAAGCAAATCCGGTCACTTTTCCTTCAAAACTAATATTAAACATTTTTGTCAGTTTCTGACTTTTATTGGAGCTGTGCCCGTGCAGCACTTTGGTTTTTGTGGTGTGGAACTGAATGGGAGCTTCACAGAGGGTCAGTGTCCACATGATGGGAACTGAACAGTGCCCTGGAGTGGAGCATTCAGTTGATTTTTTGCAGTGATGTATGTACCTTGTCATGGAACCACAGACTGGTTTGGGTTGAAGGGACCTTAAAGCTCCTCCAGCTCCAACCCCTGCCGTTGGCAGGGACCCCTTCCACTGGAGCAGCTTGCTCCAAGCCCCTGTGTCCAACCTGGCCTTGAACACTGCCAGGGATGGGGCAGCCACAGCTTCTCTGGGCACCCTGTGCCAGCGCCTCAGCACCCTCACAGGGAAGAGCTTCTGCCTCAGAGCTCATCTCAGTCTCCCCTCTGACAGGCCTTGAAATGCCAACAGCAAAGCCTGCTGCAAAGAGAATGTGCTGCTCGGGTTGTAGCAAATGAAGTAGGGTGACACCAGCCACATAAAGGAGAGGGACAGGACAGGGAGGAGAGAGTGCTAAGCCCATGTGGGCATTCCCTACTACTCCATCCCTCTGTGGAAGGAGACCCTTGTGGCCAGGATCTAGAAGCAGGGAGGGTCAGCAGCCTGTTGTTATTCCTGCTGCCCTGAAGACTGCTTCCCATCGTGCAGGGATCCTGAGTGCAGTTAGGGAGAAGACATCAGTAAAAAAGGTGGAGGGAATCCACACAGTGGGAATGTAAAAGGGAGTCCCAGCCACTTTCTTGCTTGTTCAAGCTCTTCTCCTGCCTTGGCAGCTGAAAGGCAGCCTTGGTTTTCAGAGGGGTTTGTTGGAGAGGCTCTGAAGGAGAGGAAATGCTGCAAATACAGGAGGAATTCCAGAGGCTTGGACCTGGAGGGGGTATGGATTACAGCATCGGTGGGAGCTGTTAGCACTTGGCTCTAGAAACACATGAGGTCTGAAGTGAGCTCAGAGCTTGTTGTTTGGAAGGGGTGAGATAAAGGAGCCTGGGATCGGAGCAAGGCGCAGGTGCCACCTCTGCAGGTAGGATGCTGGGAAGGAGCCCTGCAGGATCAGGCTTGTTCTGGGAGCTACTGAAATCCCTCTTTTCCTATCCCTTAGCTGGGGTGATGCAGCTCCAGGGGACCCCAACAGAGCCTCTGGGTTAGGGGCTGCTCAGGGAGCAGGCCTGTGCCCTGTAGCTCTTGTGCTACCAAGCAGTGCTGGTGCATTTGCAGTCGCATGTTGGGGCATTGATCCCCTGTTCTAGAGTGAAACCCAAGTATTTCCCCTGGCTTTCCAGCACAGGCCTTGGAGCTGGTTGGAGAGAAGCAAGCAGCCACATGAGAGCGGTGGGAAACGTGCTCTGAGCCCCTTTGAGGGCTGGGTTCTTCCAGAGGCAGGGATCCCAACCGGCTCCTTCGCTCAGGGCTCTCGCATCATGGGGTGCAGCCGAGTTTCCCAAGAAGAGAAAGAGTCAAAGATGCTGACAACTTGTTTAAGCCTCCCGAGCCTTGGGGTGAAGTGGGATTCTTCCACCCAGGCTTGGGATGGAGCAGGGTCCTCATAGGAATGCTTAAAAGCCTCAGGATCCAAAGTCTCTGGCTTGTGACCTGTGAGCAGGAGCCAGTGTGTTCCTGGTTGCTGTTGCCATTGTGTGTGCCTCGTGTTGAGCTGGGGGTGCAGTTTGCTGACGAGCCTGAAGGGATGGAGAAGCCTGAGGAAGTGAGGGAAAAATCCTGCTTTGGGGCATTTTACAGTGCTGTTTTCTGGGATAACGGGGGGGGAGAGCCAGGGAGGGGAAAGCCACTGGAGAAAGAGGTGGCTGAGGAGTAAAGATGAACTATAGAATAAGTAAGTTAAGTAAAACTACATAAACTTCAGTGAGAAGACAATGAAACATTAAATGAAGATCAAGTACCAGGTATTGAAGTGGCAGGATTGGAAGCAAGAGACAACCTCGATTTGGTCTTCCCTGGATGAGCCCTCTGTGGTGTGGCTTTGAGTCCCTGCTCTGCTCTTGAATGGCCCTGGGGATGCTCAACCTCCAATCCTTGAGCTGCAGCCACATTTTGGGAATGAGATACTTCCTTTGCAGAGCAAACCCAGCACCCAGGACTCAAACCTCAGGGTGGGGATGCTGCAGGGGCACAGACCCAGGGAAAACCTGCCAGGAGGAGCTCAGGGATAACAATACCGACATTCCTGACCAAAGGAACTCTCTCTGGTCTCCCTCAAAACTACATTTGCTGGAGCTCTATTTCCAGCTTGGCAAACACTGCATTTCCTGACACGAGCTTCCATGCAGCCGTGCCACGGGGAAGGAAGGACACAACCCAAACCCAAAAAGCTCAGAGGTTTTGGTTGCTTAAATAGTATCTTCAGGAGGAAGAAACCCGTGCTCCTTGCTTTGAAGGGAGGGAGAGGGAAAGGGAAGGATGGGAAGGGGGAGAGAAATGGGAAACCAGTGGTTGGTTGGGGTTAGGAGCAGTGGAGTGTTGGCTTTGTTTCACTGCGAAGGGCAGGAGCTGCTGGTGCAGGTGTGTTAACTCTGGGCTCCAGGAGCACGTTCCTTGTGCCATACAAAACCACGTGGATATTCTATGTCTTCCAAGCCAGGTTGGATGGGGCTTGGAGCAAGCTGCTCCAGTGGAAGGTGTCCCTGCCCGTGGCAGGGGTTGGAGCTGGATGAGCTTTAAGCTCCCTTCTAACCCAAACCATTCTGTGATTCCCTGTGATGTGCAGGAGGGGCGATAACAGCTGCATCCCTGATGTCCATGAAGTGAGGGTGCAGGATGCTCTGACTTTGGGGTGACAGGAATGTGCTGCTCTGGATGTGCAGGGTACCCTGGTACCCCTCAGCCATCCTCCAAGCGCATCCTCACGGTCTCACCCTCCCTTGCAGCAGCTTTAGAGATAGGGGAGCTGCAGCCTCCGGGCGGGGGGCTGCCTGCCCTCTGCCCTATCCAGCCCCCCACATCCCTTGGGAATGCCACCAGGCTGGAGCATGTAAACCTGACAAGTTTTTATCTGTACAGAGACGCTTGTCACCCCCCCCCTGCCCCCCCTTCCCCCCCATACCCCAATAAAAGCCAACAAAAAAGCGCATTTCAAATAAAAAGTAAAAAAAAACCAAAAGAATCCAACACTCGACCTCCCCCCACCCCAACCCCCCCCAACTGGGTCTCAGGTGGGAAACGGGGACGTGCTGCGTCCCCACGTGTGGTGGAGATGGGATAAAGTGACCTCTTCCAAACGGGATGCGAAGGGAGCTGGGCCCCGGGCGCGCTCCCGCCTCGCTCCAGCCAGGGATGGGGCAGGGGTTCAGTAGTACAGATGCCACCAGTCCTGGAGGGTGGCCCAGAGACCAGGGTGATGGTTCCTAGGTAAAAAGCTAAAAACTTAGGAGGGGGCCAGCAGGGACAAGGCACCGAGACCCCCCCCCCTTTTGGCTACTGTGTCCCCACCGGTGTCCCTGCGGCCATCGGGAGCCCTTTTAGGACTCCGAGGAGGAGTGGGAGACGCTCTGGAGCAGCGATTTGTATATGGCAGAGTTCAGGAAGCGAGGGTAGGAGTCTCTGTGCATGAGCGTGTAGATCTGGAGCTGCGCATCGTCGAAGGTGTGCGAGGACGGCTCCTGCATCTTCCGGTTGATCACCTCCCGCACCCGCGAGTCCAGGCTCACCTGGGCAGAAACAGGGGGTGAGGGACAGGTTCAGCCTGGACAAGAGAAGGCTCCTCAAGGGGAGACCTTAGAGCAGCTCCAGTGCCTGAAGGGGCTTTAAGCAACCTGGAGAGGGGCTTTGGCCAAGGGCCTGTAGGGACAGGCCAAGGGGAATGGCTTTAACCTGCCAGAGGGGAGATGGAGAGGAGCTCTGAGGCAGAAGCTCTTCCCTGTGAGGGTGCTGAGGCGCTGGCACAGGGTGCCCAGAGAAGCTGTGGCTGCCCCATCCCTGGCAGTGCTCAAGGCCAGGTTGGACACAGGGGTTGGAGCAAGCTGCTCCAGTGGAAGGGGTCCCTGCCCGTGGCAGGGGTTGGAGCTGGAGGAGCTTTAAGGTCCCTTCAACCCAAACCAGGCTGGGACTCTATGCCATTGGGTATCAATGCAGCACCGTGGCCAGACATGGAAGACCACAGTGTGCTCCAGGCTGTATCTGCACCATAGCCAGGGTGCTTTGGGGCGAGCTGCAGGGAGGTCGCCGGGTCCTCCCCTTGCTGGGCATGAGAACGGGGTTCAGGCTGCTCCCACCTTGGATGCCCCCATTCCAGGGATGCTCAGAGCTGGGATGCGGCATCTCCTCGACCCGCTGGTGCCCTCGTGAGGTTTCAGCCCCGCAGCACAACCAGGCCCTTGGGTCCCAAAGCCGGCAGCATCCCGGGGCTGGGGGGATGCTCTCACCTCCATCCATACACAAGCATGAGGCAAACCCCCCCAATCCCCAAATTGCTTCCAGGCTGGACCAAAGCCCTCTCCCAGTGCCACGGTTTAGTGGTGGCACTCGATGATCTTAAAGGTCCTTTCCAACCTGATCGATTCTACGACTCCTGAAGGACCATCCCTCCCAGGCGTGTTTGAGCCCCGCGGCAGCTCTGCCCCGTACCTCCTTGGGCGAGAGGATGGAGATGTAGTCCTCGTAGATCATCCGCGCCTTCTCGTCGATGGTGTGCTTGTTGCACTCGGCCTTGAGCTCCTCGCACGCCAGCCAGAAGAGCATGTTCTCCTCGCTGTACTCAGTCCGCAAGAACTCCCGGAAGACGTTGCGGCCCGCAGGGCTCTTCATCAGCTTCTCAAAGGACTGTGCCCAGCCCCGCACCTCCTCCGGCGTGGGCTTGGCGCTGCCGGGTCCCCCCGGGGAGGGCAAAGGGACAGAGTTACGGCCGCAGTGTTCCCCCCCCAGCGCTCAATGGATCGTCCCTGAGCATCCCCGGTGCCGTCCCGCAACCCCTGTGCCCATCCTGCGTGGAGCTCATCCTAACCCTCTGCTCTGCTCTGCAGGAGACCCCCCCACTTGCAGCGCCGTGTGCAGTG